GCGGAGGAGGAGGAGGAGGAGCAGGAGGAGGAGGAGGAGAACGAGGACGAGGAGCGAGGACGGAAATCCCGGACCCGGATCGAGGATCACGGTGTTTCGAGGTTTGCGGCTCGTCTTGAGCATCTGGAGGTCTCCAGAGGCTTCCGCGGACGTCCAGGGGCCTCTGGGGGCCTCAGGGGACCTCCAGGGGACCTCCAGGGGCCTCTGGCGCAGGAGTAGCGAGGGGGAGGAGAGGACCAAATTTGACCAAGCCAATAGTGCGCCAGGGCCAGGCTGGAGGAGAGGAAGGATGAGAAGAAGGAGGAGGAGGAGGAGGAGGAGGCGGAGGCGGAGGAGAGGGGGGGGAGGAGGAGGAGGAGGAGGAGGGGGAGGAGGAGGAGGAGGAGGAGGAGGAGGAGGAGGAGGAGGAGGAGGAGGAGGAGGAGGAGGAGGAGGAGGAGGAAGGAGGAGGAGGAGGATTTCAGGGATTTCGGCCTCTTGCGGGTGCAAGTCTGGGGCCCGACCTCGGCGCTGTGCCCCTCCCCCAGGTATGCCCCCATTCTCAAGGGGCTCCCATGCAGGGTATGGGGCGGCCGTGCTCGGGCGCCACCCTCAGCTGGTCGTGCACACGCCGTACTCCCGCGCCCACGCCAGCATCACCCGCCAGGGCCGTAGATCCACTCCTCGAGTGTCGGCTGTGCCCTGACGACTCTGGTCTTCGCTCCCACGTCGGAGTAGCTAGCTAGGTAGGAATTGGGCTCCAGCTTCGCCTTTCGCCCGAACCGCTTGGCCAGCCACTTCTCGTGGTGCGAAGCCGCTCTGCTCTGCTCCCTCGCGCTGCAGGTGACGGTCTCTGCACCGCTTTCTATGCTGTAGCTGATGTCGTTGGTATTATTTCTCGCCTTCGTATTCCGCTGCAGCTTCTCGCAAGCGCTGTTCCCAGCGTTGTAGTTGATGATGTCGGGCTTTATCGTTTTGTCTCCGTCCGCCAGCCACACCTTGGCGATTTCAGCACGGGATTTCCACATAGCCATGCTTGTGCCGCGCTGATTTCCGAATTGTAGCTGATCACGTGGGGGCTCCGCTACACCGCCCGCTTCTTCTCGCACCTGCCACCGCCCGTCTTTCTCGCGCGCACAGCCACTGCCGTCCCCGAGCTGCCACTGCCCGTCCTTCTCGCACGAACTGGTTGCATCCGCTGCCGGCTGCCACTGCCCGCCCTTCTCGCGAGCACCGCCACTGCCGTCCCAGAGCTGCCACTGCCCGTCCTTTTCGCACAAACTGGTTGCGTCCGCTGTAGGCTTCCACTGCCCGCCCTTCTCGCACGCCCCGACAGCCTCTCGTAGCATCCTCTGCCCTGCCTTCTCGCACGAACTGGTTGCATCCGCTGTAGGCCGCCACTGCCAGCCCTTCTCGCACGCACCGACAGCCTCTCGTAGAAGCCACTGTCCGCCCTTCTCGCACGAACTGGTTGCATCCGCTGTAGGCTGCCACTGCCAGCCCTCCTCGCACGTACCGACAGCCTCTCGTAGCCGCCACTGCCCGTCCTTCTCGCACGTACTGGTTGCATCTGCTGTAAGCTGCCACTGCCTTCCCTTCTCGCAAGCACCGACAGCCTCTCGTAGCAGCCAGTGCTCGCCCTTCTCGCCCGAGCTGGTCACTCTTTCTTGACGCTGCCACTGTCCGTCCTTCTCTACTTTCGCCTCTCTCGTCTTCTCGCCATTCCTGTTTTCTGGTCCAGCCGTGGCGACGAGGGGGAACGAGGTAGAGTGTTTCAGGGTGTAGATAGCGCAGATGTTCCCGAGTTGTGGCTGATCACGTGTGTGCCCCGCTTCGCCGCCTTCTTCTCGCACCTGCCACTGCCCGTCGTTCACACGTGTACAGCCAGCGCCTTCCTGCAGCTGCCACTGCCCGTCTTTCTCACACGAGCTGGTTGTTTCCACTGCAGGCAGCCACTGCCCGTCCTTCTCGCACGAACTGGTCGCCCTCTCGTGACGCTGCCCCTGTCCAGCTGTGGCGACTAGCGGGCTCACGTCGGGCTCTATCCACTCTGGCGGCCTCCACTGCCCGTCCTCCGTATGTACCTCCCACGGCGACCCCCACCAGGGTGGAGTGAGGGTGTAGAGGTCCCAGACAGCTTGCCTGCAGGTGGCGAGTTTCAGCCTGCGGTCGGCGCGCCGCCGGCTGCGGCTGGGCTTGGGGGGCCTCCCTTCGTCGCTGCCGCCTCCGCGAAGCACGTCGCGATGGGGAAAGACGCAGGGCCCACTCCACTGCTCGGCCTGCAGCATGCGGTGCAACCTCAGGCTCTTCGCGCCTTTGCCTGGCGCTGGGGGCTTTCCTCCATTGCGGGCCGCCGCGCGGCGCGCGGGCCGCGCCGAGGAGCCGCCTAGGAGGAGGAGGAGGAGGAGGGGGGGGAGGGGGAGGGGGAGGGGAGGAGGAGGAGGAGGAGGAGGAGGAAGAGGAGGAGGAGGAGGAGGAGGAGGAGGAGGAGGAGGGAGGAGGAGGAGGAGGAGGAGGAGGAGGAGAGGAGGAGGAGGAGGAGAGGAGGAGGAGGAGAAGGAGGAGGAGGAGGAGGAGGAGGAGGAGGAGGAGGAGGAGGAGGGAGGAGGAGGAGGAGGAGGAGGGGGGGAGGAGGAGGAGGAGGAGAGGAGGAGGAGGAGGAGGAGGAGGAGGAGGGAGGGGCAGTGAGGAGGAGAGGAGGAGGAGGAGGAGGAGAGGAGGAGGAGGCGGGAGGGGGAGGAGGAGGAGGAGGAGAAGGAGGAGGAGGAGCCTGAGATGGGGGACAAGGGCAAGTGGGGGAGCGCAGGAAAAGAGAGGAGAAAAGAGGAGAGGAGAGGAAAGGAGAGGAAAGGAGAGGAGAGGAGAAGAGAGGAGAGGAGAGAAGAGAGTGGAGTGGAGAAGCGAGGCGAGGCGAGGCGAGGAGAGGAGAAGAGAGGAGAAGAGAGGAGAAGAGAGGAGAAGAGAGGAGGAGGAGGAGGAGGAGGAGGAGGAGGAGGAGGAGCAGCAGGGGAGGAGGAGGAGGAGGCGGAGGAGGAGGAGGAGGAGGAGCAGGAGGAGGAGGAGGACGAGGCGGGAAGAGGGAACGATGGGGCGAGTGGAGAGGGGAGGAGGCGAGCGAATGAAGGAGAAAGGAAGGGAGGAGAGGAAAGGAGAGGAGGGGACGGGAGAGGAGAGGAGAGGTGAGGTGAGGAGGAGAGGTGGAGCAGAGGAGGCGAGGAGAGGTTTGTAGTCGCCCCTGACTCTTTCGAGATCGGGTTGGGCTCATGGCTCCCAAATCGTTGGAGGTCGGTGCGCGTGAAGGTGAAAGCTACGCCTCTTTATGGAATGACGACGAGAGAAGAGGAGAGGGGAGAATAGGAGAAGAGGAGGAGGACAGGAGGAGGAGGAGCAGGAGGAGGAGGTGGAGGAGGAGGAGTGGCAGCAAGAGCAGGAGGAGTAGGAGAGGAGCAAGAGAGGAGCAGAGGATGTGGAGACGGATGGTGACGGCGACTGGCAGGAGGTCTTCGGTGACGGCCGAGCGCCAGGTCGCTGCGAGGCTGAATCAACCCGCTCCAGGTGGCTTCATTACGCCTCCGGGAACATGAACACGGCCTCCTTGTTCGTGAGCTTCTTGTACACTGCTGCGAAGGTGGTCAGCTTGGTGTCGACGTCGGCCTTCTCCTTGTCCTATCCAGGAGACGCCATGTATGCACCTCACCGATCCTGGCCTAGGCCTACTCTGCTCTGGGCGCAAGACATGTGTGTATACATATGTATGTACAGAAGCATACATCTATATATGTATATACAGAAAGAGAGAGAGAGAGAGAGAGAGAGAGAGAAAAAAAAAAAAAAAAAAAAAAACGAAAGAAAGAAACAGAGAGAGAGAAGCAACAAAACTATACATACACAAGGCTGCGTTGGCGCTCGCTTCGCGCCATGCACCTTGGTCCGTGAGGTTTGCCATGTAGGCGGGAGGGCAGGAAGGTGAAACAGACAACTTAGCGATAACGCCTTAACGCCTCTTGAGGCATCGTCGCTATAATAATGTGTTCCGTTTTCCTTCCCCCATGCTTCCTCTTCCTCTTCCTCCTTCTCGTCTGACCCTGCGAATTATTCCCTATCCTCCTCAGCTCTTTTCGCGGAGGCACCTCCTTCGAGAGCCTTTCGGGGGCCTCGCGAAAGTTTTTAAGGACTTCTTGGGCCTTCTGGAGGCCTCCAGGGCGCCTTCTGGGGTCCTCTGGGGGCTTCCTCGGACCATCCTGCTTCCGAACGCGGTCTCCCTGAACGACAGTGCCACGAGTCGGAATGCTTCGGGGGGCGCCTTAGGGTCATCTTGGGCCGTCATGGGGCTCTCTCCGGGCCATCTTGGAACTCGTTGTGCCGTCTTGGGGCTCTCCTGGACTGCCTGGAAGCACTTTCGGATAGTTTCGGGGTGAGTTTCGGGCCTCCTGAGCGGTCTCGAACGCCAGGAAGACCGAAGACCAAATCATTCGCAAAAACATACGGAAACCCATGAAAATCAATGTTTTCTGTATTTCGAAAGCCTCTTGGGGTCTTCTTTGGGTCGTCTTCGGGCGTCTGCTGAGTGTCTGGGGCCTCTTGGGGCCTCGGGGGGCAGTTCGGCCGCCCTCCTGACCGATTTGGGCCCGTTCAGGCCCAGCAGTGGCTTCCAGGAGCTCCGGAAAGCCTCGGGGGCATCCTGCATGGGCGTCCACGGGACCCCCGGGGCGACGGATCCAGGGGTCCCGTTCGGGAGCGGGGGTCCCCCTCCCGGGCTTGCAAGAGCATCGGAAAAGGAATGTGCATACTTCCCTGGCCAGGCCAGGAGGGTGCATGCAGCGATCCTTGGCCCAAGTTGGGCCTGGCCAGCGTCGGTGAGGCGTATCGTCGATGTCCCCCGATCCTTGGGGTCGAGGAAGATCTTCATGAGCTTCGTGCCGTCCGCGGTGATGCGCGTGCGCCTGCCCACGATCTCGGTGGGGCCGACGACGTCCTCCAAGATCGCGTCGTGCACCGCGGTCAGGGTGCGGCTCCGGGGGCGCACCTTGAGGCCCCTGCGCCGGAAATTCAGGTCCAGGATGGTGCGGTTGGCCACGAAGACCACCTTCTTCTTGGAGAACTTCTTCTCCAGCTCGCGGATGAGGCGGCCTGGGAGAAGGAAACGCAGGAGGAGGCAGAGGATGAGGGAGAAGAGGAGGTGGAGGAGAGGAAGAAAGGAGGAGGAGGAGGAGGAGGAGGAGGAGGAGGACGACGAGCAGGAGAACGAGGAGAAGGGGGACGAAAAGGGGAAAAGGAGGCGGGAGGAGGAAGGAGCACAGGGAGGAACGATTGAAGGAGGATGAGGGGGAGGAGGAGGAGGAGGAGGACGAGGAGGAGGAGCAGCGGCAGCAACAGGAACGGGGGGGACCCAGCAGGGGTGCCTTGTATCTTGCGCACCGTCACCCAGACCCGGTACGGAAAGTACACGATCACGGCGCGCAGGCCGTTCTTCACCTCGGGAGGCCACCGAGGAGCTGGCATTGGGGCGGCGTCTGAAGGCTCGCCTCGTCGAGCGCAGGCGCCCCCCACCCCGCACTTGTCACGGACTGGCCCGACCACACGCGCCCCTGCTGCCACTCCTCCTCCCCCATTCCCCCTCTGCTGCCAACCCTCCCCTCTGCTCCGCCCCTCCTTCTCATCGTCCTCCTCCTGACCTCTGTCCCCCTCTCCTCCCGACCCCACTCATGCCCCCCATGCACCTCCCCCGCCCCTATAATTCATCCACCTCCTCCTCCTCCTCCTCCTCCTCCTCCTCCTCCTCCTCCTCCTCCTGCTGCTGTCGAGCCCATCCCGCTCGATCAGAATGAGAAGCATACTCTTCAGCATCAGCAAGAACAGCGAAAACGACTGTCGCAGCATCATTGTCACCGAAATCATGTCCACCACAGCCACCGCTACCACCAATCATTGTTATCAGCGTCATCATCATCATCATCATCATCATCATCATCATCATCATCATCATCATCAGCATCAGCATCATCATCATCGTAATGAGAATTTGCATTATCATCATCAGCAGCAGCATCAACTTCACCATCATCATCATGTTAGTCATCATCATCATCATCAGCATCAGCATCAGAATCAGCATCATCATGGTCATCGTCATCGTCATAATCATCAGCATCATCATAATCGTCGTCATTATCACTATCATCACGATCACCATCAACAACAGCAAAAGCATCATCATCGTTACCATACGTACCATCTTCATCACCATTACAGTCGTCGTCATCGCCGTCGTCAACATCATCATCCTCTTCACGATCATCAGCAACAGAAGAAGCATCATCCTCGTCATGGTCATCACCTTCATCGTCATCATCCTCATCAGCATCATCGGCATCATCAACACCATCAGTAAACATCATCATCGCCATCAGCATCGTGTTCGCCAACACAAACAACAACTTCAACATCATCATCCGAATCGTCACCATCATCAGCATCATCATCGCCACCGTCATAGTCGTCGCCGACAGCAACAACGTCATCGTCACAATCACCACACTCATCATCGCCAACAACACCATAAGCATCATCATCATCATCAGCAGCAGCATCAGCATCCTCATCCTTATTATCATCGTAATGATGATCATCATCACCAGCAGCATCTTCATCAGCAGCAGCATCATCACCATCATACTGAAAATAGTACTAACAATCACCATCAGCAGCATCATGATCATGATCACTACCATCATCAGCATCATCATAATCGTCGCCATCAGCATCATCATCATCATCATCATCATGATCACAATCATGATCATGATCATCGTCATCGTCATCGTCATCACCACCATCATCAATCTCTTCATCGTCGGCTGCGTCGTTGCCAACCTCATCATCATCCTCATCACCATCGTCACAAGTAGCGTCTCTATAATCGTCGTCATGCTCATCATCATCGTCAACAGCATCTCCGCCATCGTCGCCATCGTCATCATCACCTATTCAACACCATCAGCATCATCAACATTATCATTATCAGCATCATCATCATCATCGTCACCGTCATCACCAGCGTCATCATCACCCTCGTCGCCATCACCGCCCTCGGTATCATCGACAGTACTGTCACCACCACCACCACCACCGTCATCATCATCATCATCAGCATCAGCAGCAGCAGCATCAACAACATAGTCGGCATCATCATCATTAGCAGCATCATCAGCATCATCATCATCGTCATCATCATCGTCATCATCATCATCACCATCACCATCACCATCACCATCATCATCATCATCATCATCATCATCATCATCATCATCATCATCGTCATCGACATCATCATCAGCATCATCAGCATCGTCATGCCCCAGCCCCTATTCCTCCTGTCCCCCTCAAACTCTGCCGGCCCATCCTCCTTCTCCTCCGCCTTCTCCTCCTCCTCCCCATCGTCCTGTGGCGGCAGGGCGGGCCGCATGTTTCACATGAGACTTCTTCCACATCTATGATACTGAGACTGGGAGACTGGACAGTGAACAGATCATACTTTTTCATGAATGGGGTTGGCGCGGTGCCTTTCAACCGAATTATATACATACACACTAAAATATTGCATGTGTATGTGTGTGTGTCCTCATGTATGTGTGGTTCACGTAAACGTCGCGTACACTTGTATTGGGCAACTCCAGCAGCTACACGGATGGAGGTGAGGTGATTTCCAGAATGGCGTTATCGCCTTATCTCCGTGCGCATACGTTTGAACAGTCCTAGAGCTTCACGGATGAGGGCGACGTGATGTTCAATATGTGGCTCTAGCTGCAGCACTGCGCACAGTCGTTGAACAAATGACCAACACGTACAATAATGAAGGGCGGGTGAATTTCAAAACCTGGCTCTCGCCTTGGCGCCGCGAGCATTCAGAATGCACCAGCAATTATTCACACCAACGAAGAGCGGCTCCGTGAAAGCCCGCGCTGGAGAGTCCCTCGGGCTTGACCTCGACGGCCAGAAGTTTCACATTGTGTAACAGCTTGACGGAAAAAAGTGTGCCCATTGCCAGCATACGGCTATCGCTAGAAGCTCCCCAAAGTCTAGCCACTAGAGTTGAAATAATGCAACAACTCCACAGGTGGAGGCGGCCTTTCTCTAAGCGAGGCTTGCTGAGCACCTCCTTTTCCGCAAGGGCCTCTTGCCTGAATGAGGGGCGTTGGAACATACGTATGCATATACTCACCAGGGGGCCTGAAGGGGCGCTTCCCGCAGCGAGACGCAACGCTTGCTCCTGGTGACATGCGAGGCGGGGCAGTCGGATTGGAGGTGTCTTGCAACATTGTTGATGCATCCTGGGTTAATTCTGGTCGTCCTCCTCCTCCTTCTTCGCCTGTCCCCCCCCCTCCCTCCTTCTCGTCCCACTCCCCCTGTGCTACCTTCTATTCCTCCTCCTCCTCCTCCTCCTCCTCCTCCTCCTCCTCTTCCTCCTCCTCGAGGGAGGTGAAGGGAGATAGGATGACGCCAACGATGCGACTACGACCGAGGATCGGCGTGTACTCCCTCCTGGCGTGACCTGGAAGACATACGCACCGATACCCGGCCCAGGTGCATCGTTGGCGACCCTCGAAGATAGATCACATGGAGCACCGACGGTATCAAGATCCGGTCAGTCGCCATGCAGGTCACGTGGCCTCGACACACGATAGCTGAAGGCTGTCCGATCCCAGGGAAGATCGCTATGGTGGAGCTCCGCGGAATGCTCAACCCGCGCGTGCTCGGATGTGCTCTCCCTAGACCTTGAGGCGTCGTGAACAAACTCATCAAGGTGTCCCTTCTCAGTTTCGGCCGCAAGGGACCGCTGTCAGGCACTTGTGCCCTCGAAAGCCTGCCCGCGACGGAAAGGCTGTCCTGGGGATGGGCTCGACGAGAGTTCTGGGGGGGCCCATGTCGTGCAAATGAGCGACGTCGACTGTCTGGATCCAACACCTACTCGGAGCACCCCGTGGGAACCTCCCCCCCCCGGGCATGCTGAGCTCATCGCCTCCACCTCTTTGGCGGCGGAGATGACCACGTCGCGGAGGTCGGCCTTCGGGGCGGTCGCTCAGGAGTGCACCAACGCAGATCCTGGCCGAGCCCATGCTGGGCTCAGAACCGATCTGGCCAGGATCGGTGTAGGTCTACAACGAGCGTTTTGTGGTCGCTGGCGAAACTTAAAATCTGCTTGGTGCTCTGCGCCTCTTGGGCGCGGATTCATCCATGCATCACGGACTCGCGGCTTACTGGTCCGCTCTCGAGGGAAAGGATGTGGCCAAAGTTGCTGGGGGGCTCTGCCTCGGTCGTAGAGGGCACCTACAGTATGAAGTCCCACAGCTAAAACTGCAGACGGAAGGGGGGAAGGAGACGGAGGAGGCGGAGAGGAGTGGGAGGAGTACGAGGAGGTGAAGGAGGAAGAGTAAGAGTAGGAATGAGGAGAAGGAGAGGATGGAGGAGGCATCGGGCGCTCGCGATCCCACCTGCAGGCTTCCAGTCTGCCTCGGTGGTGGCTCTGGCCAGGATTGCGAATGCCCACGCGTTCTGGAAGCCTGCAGGGACCCTCCTTATCGTAGTCGTCGTCGTCCTCCTCCTCCTCCATGGACATCATGTATCCTTGGAGACGTCCTGGGTGATTCCAGAAAGACCGGCGTTCGCATACACGGCATCGAATGAATTCAGCCCTCGGGCATCTCTAGGGGCACCGTGCACATTCAGATCGAGAACAACTTCCAGATGAAATATTCGAGAGGCGCAGCGCCACCATCATACATCGCAGGGCCCGGGAAGACGCGCGACCTACTACTACAAGCGTAGCGATCATGTGCCAGTTCCCCAAACATGTACCGACCACCCGCGGCGGTGGCACTCTGAGTACTACCCTCCACCCGCCTCTGGGTGCTGCGAGCGAACGCATGTATGTACTGCTGCTACTGATCTGGTGCAGTGATGCGCGCATGAGCTCTTCTTCAATGCTCCCCGGCAACATGTGGCGGTCGTGCTCTGGGTATCACCTTCCGCGCGCCTCTGGGTGCTGCGAAACAACAGAGGTGTGCACTGTGTCTCCTGAACTGGCTTGCTGGCGCGCGCAAGTGCTCCTGGCGGGCGCCGTGCCAGTTCTGTCGTGCGCCCCGCGGGCAGTCGGGCCTCGCCGCGCCAGGAGAGACAGGGAGCACCAGCGGGGGCCTGGATCGAGAAGGGAAGGGGTAAGTTCCTCATCCTCCTTCTGCGACACCTCCTCGCATCTCTCCCTCCCTCATTGTTCCCATGACGGTCATACCAACCCTCACCGTTGGCATCAGACTTGTCTTCGAGCCTTAATGTCACTTGTTGGCGACATCTCGATGTCAAATATTGCCTTGGCGACCTCCTCCTCTAGCTCCGTGATGGCGGCGGCCTCAGGTGGGACTCGATGGCAAGCTGAACACGAGCACAAGGATTGAGATGGACAGCGTCCCATGATTCGCGCAGCAGGCACTGTCAAGACTTCTCCCCTGATCGCAGTGAAGATGGTTATCCTCCTCCGACTCGTGTCCCCCTCATTGCTCTCCTGCCAGCCCTACTCATGCATTCCACTGTCCTCGCGCGTGCTCGTTTCTCTTCCCTCATCCAATATAGTTAATCCCTCCTCCACCACCCTCCCCCTGTAACTGCTCACACTTCCCGACGTTATCATGTACATCGCCCACCTCCCACTTGTCATCGGCATCAGCATCACAGTCATCACCACCACCATCATCATCCTCACCACCATCATCATCAACATCATCATCAGCAACATCATCATCATCATCATCAGCATCAGCATCATCATTATCATCATCATCATCATCATCACCATCATCATCATCATCATCATTATCATCATCATCATCATCATCATCATCATCATCATCATCATCATCATCATCATCATCATAATCATCATCATCAGCAGCATCATCATCAGCATCATCATCATCATAAGCTTCAGCATCAGCATCATCAGCAGCATCCTCATTTTCATCAGCAGCATCATCATAGTCGTCGTCATCAGCATCACCATCATCACCGTCATCATCTGCAGCATCAGCATCGTCAGCATCAGCATCATAGGCATCACCAACGTCGTCATCACCATAATCAGTATCGTCATCACCATATTTGTCAACAACATCAACAGTATCGCCATCGTCGTCGTTCTCATCATCAGCATCACCATGGCCCTCATCATCAGCAGCATCAGCATCATCATTATCACCATCATCATCATCGTAATCGTCATCAGCTTCAGCATCATCATCACCAGCGTCATCATCAGCATCATCAACATCCGCATCAGCATCATCGTCATCACTGTCATCATCATAATCGGCATCAGCATCGTCAGCATCATCATGAGCACGAGCAGCATCAAATTCGTCATCTCATCAGCAGCAGCAGTATCATCAGCATCATCCGCATAAACCCCGTCACGATAACAGCATTCCACTCCTTACAATGTTCAGTACCAATATGATCAGCATCATCGATAGTATAACCCTCGCCAGGCAGCAACAGCAGCACTGTCATCACCTTCAGCAGCATCATCATAGGCATCAGCATCATCAGCATCATCAGCAGCATCATTTTCATCGGCAGCATCATCATCGCCAGCATGATCAAAAACAACAGCATCAGCAGCATTGTAAGCATCCTCGTCATCACCAACACCCGTATCAGATTAGGATCATCGTCGGCGATATCATCATCGGCAGCCGCAGCATCATCACCGTCGTCAGTAGAAGTGCCCATCATCGCCACCATAACCATCATCATATCCATCCTCTCCACCATCGTCCTCAACAACGTCATGTATCAGCATGCTGCTCTTCTTCCGCAATATCTCCATCCTGCCCCTCCACATCATGCACAGTGGTACGGGTACCACTGTGCTTACCCTGACCATCGCCATACTCCTCCCCATACAGGCCCTCGTCTTTCCAAAAGTTCTTCCAGCGACACGCCCGCCATCCGCCTCATCATATCGTCGTTGCCGTCATTATGGTCATCATCAGACCTGCCAGCAGAGTCACGAAACTTGGTCAGCCTCATAGTCAGCACCATGGCCCCGCTCCCTCAAGCATGCGTCCCCACATCCTCAGCCTCGTCCTCAAGCGTCAGCCCTCGTCATTACTACAGTATTATCCCCGCCCCCTCCCTCTCATCAGTCTCAGTATCACCGTTGTCGTACACCTCTTCCTGTTCCTCCAAATCGTCCTCTTCCAACCCATCTTGATGTTGTTTATGTCCCTCTTGTGTCTCATCGTGTTCCTCCCACATAACCCCTCCGCCTCCTCTTCATCTCCTCCTCCTCCTCCTCCTCCTCCTCCCTCCTCCTCCTCTCCTCCTCCTCCTCCTCCTCCTCCTCCTCCCTCCTCCTCCCCCCTTTCCCCTCCTCCTCCTCCTCCTCCTCCTCTCCTCCTCCTCCTCCTCCTCCTCCTCCTCCTCTCCTCTCTCTTCTCCTCCTCCTCCTCCTCCTCCTCCTCCTCCTCCTCCTCCCTCCTCCTCCTCTTTCTCTCTTTCTCCTCTTTCTCCTCTCCTCCTCCTCCTCCTCCCTCCTCCTCCTCCTCCTCCTCCTCCTCCTCCTCCTCCTCCTCCTCTCCTCCTCCTCCTCCTCCTCCTCCTCCTCCTCTCCTCCTCCTCCTCCTCCTCCTCCTCCTCCTCCTCCTCCTCCTCCTCCTCCTCCTCCCTCCTCCTCCTCCTCCTCCTCTCCTCCTCCTTTCCCCCTACAATATCCATGCACCAACTTCCCTTCAATACGACGCTCTCGCCTCTCCTCTCCTCCACCCACTCCCAACCCCCTACTACCACCATCTACTGAGGCACTCAATCCAAGCCTACCAACCTTACTCCTGCCCCACAGCACCCTCACTCCCTCCCCACACCCCTCCCTCGTGCCCTCTCTCTGCGCTCTGCCCTTCTTCAACATGCATGTGTTACTTTTTCCGCGGCCCCGCTCAATCCTCTACTCCCCCTATGCCTCTCCCCATCCCCCGACCCCTTGGGAAAACCATATTCGACCTTGTCCTTCACAATCTTCTTCTTAGGGTTGAACATGGCGCCCACTGCTGTCCTGTGATCCACCGACCGTGCTTGGTACTCGAGCCGATATGCCTTGGCACGCAGAGTGACAAAGCAGGGCTAATCGGACGCAGGGAAGTGGAGGAGAAGAGGAGCTCAACCGAAGGGGCGTGCAGAACATAGGATGCACCGCAGCCACGAAGGAAACAAACGAACGGTTACATCCTCACAGGGCATGGAAAATCCCGTTGCGGAGGCCTTCCATCAGGCCACGGTGGAACGATTCAGCGAGCGATTCCTCGAGCGCGGTGGGGAACTGCATGAAGGACAACAAGGTTACATCCTGTTTCTGGCCCGATGGCCCAGACCTGGAGCGCGATATGGTCGACGACTGCATGAGCGGCACACTGCAGCGTCGATGATGTGTCGCTTCAGCCAACCGCTTTTACGGGCGGCTTTGGGTACAGTCTCACCGAGACGAGGTGAGTGATGACCTTGAGTGGTGAATAGCGATCCGCGGATGGCGTCACTGCCACTTGCTTCCAGCGCGCTACCACTGACGAGCCGACGCTGAGCTTGCGGTCGGCCCTGGCGGCCTTCACTCAGGACGAGCCTCTCGCGCAAAACTGCGGCGGCGGCGCAGAGCGACGGCGGCCGGGGCTTTCTGGGGCCGCTCCCGTGGTGGGCCGTCGTGCAACACACGCGGCGGGAGGCGGCCGGCCACCAGAAAAAATCCGCAGGGCACAAGTCGAGCAGGGACCGACCATCCTGGCATTCCTTCAGACCTACCACGACATGCTCTCAGAACCACAGAGTGCTCGAAGAAGCACCAGACAGCTCGCCCCCTGGCCCCCCGCCAGCCGCACGCCAAGGGGCGGGCAGATGTACGGGCGCAGCACCGCGCTGCATGCGCAGCCTTCGGCTGGGCCAGCCAGGGAAAGACCCAACACTGCATCACGTGGCGCGTGGATGCCCGCACCGACCACGACTCCTCTCAGTCCCTACCTCCGACCCCCCCCCTTTCGCCATCTCCTCTTCGTCCTCGTCCTCCGTCCTCCCTCTCACCCGTCCACCCCCCGTCGTCCCGTGCGTGGCACATGGTGCTGCTTGGTTACATCTGGGAAATATCCTTACAGCCCGGCCTTAAAACTGCCAGCGACATATCCTCACACCCCTTGCTTAAAACTGCCAGCGAAATATCGTCGCACCCCTCGCTTGAAACTGCCAGCGAAATAGCCTCATCCCCTAAACGTAAAACTGCCAGAGAAATATCCTCAACCACCTGGCTTAAAACTGCCAGCGAAATATCCTCAACCCCCTGACTTGCGAAATATTCTCACACCCATCCCTCAAAACTGCTAGCGAAACATCGTCACCCCCTGGCCTAAAACTGCCAGCGAAATATCCTCACCGCCCTCGCTTAACACTGCCAGCAAAATGTTCTCACACCGCTCAGCGAAAGATCCACACCCCCATGGCCTAAAGCTGCCAGCGAAATCCGCCGACACTGTCGGCGTGTGGAATGCGCTGTGCCGTTTGACTCGTCGTCGTCGTCGTCGTCGTCGTGGTCGTGGTCGTCGTCGTCGTCGTCGTCGTCGTCGTCGTCGTCGTCGTCGTCGTCGTCGTCGTCGTCGTCGTCCTCGTCCTCGTCGCCGCCGGTCGTCGCCGCCGTTCGTCGTCGTCGTCGTCCTCGTCGCCGCCGCCCCTCCCCTTTCCCTGCGCCCGCCGTCTTACCCCTCTCTTTCATCGCGCCCTTCTCCTCAAGCAACTCAGCCACAGCGAAATTCAGCAACATCGTTGTTGAGTCGAAAGGAAGCCTCTCCCCTTTGATCCATTCTCCGCCGGGAGGAGGGGAGGAAGGTCCCGGGGTGGGTCCTGGGGGGGATCCCGGGGGGGGGGGGTCCCGGGTCAGAATACCACCCCCCCCTGGGGGAGCCTGGGGCCCAAAAATGTCCCAAGACGAGACACAAGAGTGCCCCAAGAGGCCCACAAGACGGTCCAAGACGTTTTTACGGCCTCCAGACGGCCCAAGAGGGCTGAAGACGCCCCAAGAGGCCTCGAAGAGCACTCCCAAGAGATCCCAAAGAGGCAAAACTCTTCGATTTCCCGTGAGTTGTTCAAGGACTTGGGCGTCCTCGCCTTTTCGGCTGCCCGACGTTCCTAGACGGCCCAAGAGGCTCCAACGATCGCCCCAAGATGCCTCCCAGAGAGTCCCGAAACGGGCCAAAGAGGGACCGAAGACGGCCCAAGACGCCTGCAAGGCGGCTCAAGAGGCCCCCAAGAGGGCTCCAAGAAGGTGCCCACACGGGGGAACCAAACGGACATTTCGAGCCCTCCGCCCCGAGAGGCTCCCAAGAGGCCTCCAAGAGGCTCCAAGAGGCCCCCAAGAGGCCCCCTGGAAGCCCAAGGAGGCTTCCAAGAGGCTCCCAAAGGCCTCCAAGATGCTCCCAAGGGGCCCTAAAAACTGCCCCCCAGAGGCCTCCGAGAACGCTCCGAAGAGACCCCAAACAGAATCCCTGAGGACTCTGACCCACGTCAGCATCGTCGTCGTCGTCGTCGCCGTCGTCATCATCGTCGTCGTCGCTGTCGTCATCGACGTCGTCGTCGTCATCACCTTTCAGGGTCGGCGGCACCGGCCGTAAGGCCTTCACAATATCCTCACACCCCATCGCTTGAAACTGCCAGCGAAATATCCTCCACCCCCTGACTTAAGACTGCCAGAGAAATATCCTCACCGCCTCGCTAAAAACTGCCAGCGAAAAATCCTCGTACCCCTCGCTTGAAACTGCCACCGAAAGATCCTCAACCCCGGCCCTGAAATTGCCAGCGCAATATCCTCACCGCCCCTCGCTGAAAACTGCCACCGAAATACTCTCAACCCCTCGCTTGAAACTGCCAGCGAAATATCCTCACATCCCTCGCTTGAAACTGCCAGCGAAAGATCCTCACCGCCCCTGGTCTAAAATGGCCAGCGACATGTCCTCACCCCCTGGCCTAAGACTGCCAAACCATCCTCACACCCCTCGCTTGAAACTGCCAGCGAAATATCCTCACCGCCCCGGATCTAAACTTCCAGCTAAATATCCCCACCACGAACATGTAAAACTGCAAACGAAAGACCCTCACCCCCCTCGCTTGAAACTGCCAGCGAAATATCCTCAACCCCCTCGTTGAAATCTGCCAGCGAAATATCCTCACCGCCCCATCGCCTGAAGCTGCCAGCTAAATATCCTCACGCCCCAAACCTAAGACTGCCAGCGATATATCCTCAGCCCACTGGCCTAAAACTGCCAGCGAAATGTCCTCACCTCTCGCTTAAAACTGCCAGCGAAATATCCTCAACCCCTCACTTGAAACTGCCAGCGAAATATCCTCATCCCCCTGACTTAAAATTGCCAGCGAAATATCCTCACCCCCTTGCCTAAAACTGCCAGCGAAATGTCCTCGCCCCCTGACTTAAAACTGCCAGCGAAATACCTTCACCCCCGGAAATAAAACTGCCATCTAACTGTTTTGGCGATTCAGTTCAATTCTGTCAGTCAGTTCTGCCTACTTCCCGAAAATCAAATGACGGGCCGATCCCGTAAACAAAAGCGCGCTCTTAGAACCTGAAACCTGTGCTAAAAGAACACGGCAGCCTTGGCCAGAAATGGCCTGAGCACACCTCGTGCAAGCCACACAGAGGTCTTCAAACGCTCCTTGCCTTAGGGCGACGACATCTATACATATCCACTGCTCCCTGGCGAGGCCCATCCTGAACCCAGCAGCTGTGTATACGCTGCGCCCTCCTGGCGTGGCCAGGAGGGCGTATGCACAACTCCTGGGTTCAGGATGGGCATGGCCAGGGAGCAGTGGATATGTATAGATTTCGTCGCCCGATGCCTGGCCTATACAACCAAGCCGAGACGCTCCTCCACTGCTTCAACAAGGACGCTCGGGGCCCCGGCGCCGTCCCCGGCCCACGGCACCGGCCGGCCGCGCGCCGAGCACCTCCGCCGCCGGCGCGCGGCCACTCGGAGGGAGCAAAGGGGGGGCCAGGCGGCGGATCGGTCCCGCAGCCCCGCAGCGAACTTGCCGGCACTCTCCGCGCCCGCCTCGGCCGCCTCGGCCGCGGCCTGCCGCGGGGCTGCCGCCGCGGTCGTCGGCCGCAGGCCACGGCCTCCTCCTCCTCCCGCACCCCGAACTACTCGTGCTCCTCCTCACTCTCCTCTGCACCACCTCCTCCGTCTCCTCCTGCTTCTCCTCAGCTCCTCCTCAACCTCCTCCTTCTCCGCCTCCTCCTCCATATAACCCGCAGGGGCCGAATAGTCTCTTCGAGAGGCAGGGACTCGCCCCCGACGCGCTTATCCTTGTCCTTATCCTGATCCTTATTATTATTATTATTATTAGTACTAGTATTATTAGTAGTATTATTAGTAGTAGTAGTAGTATTATTATTGTTACTACTACTACTACTTTTTTTATTATTATTCTGATTATGATTATTATTATCAGTATCCTTATCCCTATGCTTATCCTTATCATTATCCTTATCCTCCTCCACATCCTCCTCCTCCTCGCCCTCCTCCTCACTGTCACCATCGTCATCAGCATCGCATCATCACCACCACCGCCACCACCACCACCACCATCATCATCACCAGCATCGTTATCAGCATCATCACCATCATCGTCGCCATCGTCAGCGTCATCATCATCATCATCATCATCATCATCATCATCATCATCATCATCATCATCATCATCATCATCATCATCATCATCATCATAGTCATCACCATCATCGTCGCCATCGTCAGCATCATCATCATCAGCATCATCAGCAGCAGCAGCATCGGCATCAGTATAATCATCGTCATCATCATCATCAGCATCAGCACCAGTTTCATCATCAGCATCAGCAGCAACATCACCATCATCATCATCATCATCATCGTCGTCGTCGTCGCCGCCGTTATCATCATCAACAACAATTATCCCGGCAAAGCAACCTAACAGCGATGTGTAGGAGCATATCTGGAAGCATTCCCCGTAAGATTCAGATGAGAGTCCAGTTGTAGAATCTGCTGTTCTCGCAGTCGGAGTCGCATTCGCGATGACAGTCGCAGTGGCAACGGCAGTCGCAGTCACAGCCTCAGCCTCAGCCTGCCTCAGCCTCAGCCTCAGCCTGCCTCAGCCTGCCTCAGCCTCAGATTCAGCCTGCCTCAGCCTCAGCCTGCCTCAGCCTCAGCCTCAGCCTGCTTCAGCCTCAGCCTCAGTCTGCCTTCAGCCTCGGCCTCAGCCTCAGCCTGCCTCAGCCTCAGCCTGCATCAGCCTCAGCCTCAGCCTCAGCCTGCCTCAGCATCAGCCTGCCTCAGCCTCAGCCTGCCTCTGCCTCAGCCTCAGCCTGCTTCAGCCTCAGCCTCAGTCTGCCTTCAGCCTCGGCCTCAGCCTCAGCCTGCCTCAGCCTCAGCCTGCCTCGGCCGCAGCATCAGCCTGCCTCAGCATTCAAAATGTGGCCCAGGAATGGAGTTCTGGGAACTAGACGAACACGAAGTGGCCTACAGTTGGCTCCGGGCATTCAAAATCATGCCCAGGAATGGAGTTCTGGGAACTTGAAGACCACGAAGTGGCCTACAGTTGGCTCCGGGCATTCAAAATGTGGCCCGGGAATGGAGTTCTGGGAACTCGAAGACCACGAAGTGGCCTACAGTTGGCTCCGGGCATCCAAAATGTGGCCCGGGAATGGAGTTCTGGGAACTCGAAGAGCACGAAGTGGCCTACAGTTGGCTCCGGGCATCCAAAATGTGGCCCGGGAATGGAGTTCTGGGAACTCGAAGACCACGAAGTGGCCTACAGTTGGCTCCGGGCATCCAAAATGTACGCCGGGAATGGAGTTCTAGCAGCGCCAAGAGCGATTTTGCGAGGATGTCCTAAGCGATTTGGGCTTCGACGGCAGCCGCGCCGGGTCCCGCCCCGGGTCCCGCCCCGACCCCCCTGAGGAGTCATGATGCTCTCTTTTGACCCCACTAGGAACCTATCAGTCTTCGCTGTTAGGTAAAATCATCAGCATCCTTATCCTCAGCATCGTCAGCATCATCATCAGCATCACCATCATCGGCAGCAGCAGCATCACCATCACCAGCTGCAGCAGCAGTATCCTCATCAAGGTCATCACCAGAATAATCATCATCTTGACACTCGTCCTCTTCCTCCTCATCATCATCATCATGATCAGCTCATCAGCAGCATCAACATCATCATCATCAGCATCATCATCGACAGTATCGATATCATCATCGTCAGCATTATCAGCAAAATCCGCATCATCAACATCGTCAACTTCATAACTCGCATACTAGGTTCTTCATTAACACATGCAGCATCACAACCATCAGCAGCACCAGCATCATCAGCATAATCATCAGATTCAGCTTCAGCATCAGTATCAGCATAAGCATCACCATCGCCAAGTCATCGCTATCAGAACCAGCATAATCAGCATCGTCATCATCATGACCATCATCACCGACATCATCATGAACGACATCATCATCATCATCATCAGCAGCAGCAGCATCATCATCAGCATCAGCATCATCGTCGTCATCATCATGCTCATCACCCATCATCACCATCGTCATCGTCATCGTCATCGTCGTCATCAGCATCAGCAGAATCAGAATGTCAACGATCATCAGTGTCATCACCATCATTACCATCATCGTCATCAGCATCGGTATCATCACGATCAGCATCAGCATCACAATCATGATAACCATAATCATTATCAGCATCACCATATTGATCGGCAAGATCATCAGCAGCATCATCATCATCATCACGATCAGCATCCTTACCATCACCATCATCGTCATCGTCGTGATCAGCATGATAACCATCATCATCATCCTCATCTTCCGCAGCATCAGCATCAGCATCAGCATCAGCATAAGCATCTTCGTCAGCATCAGCATCAGCAACATCAACCTCGACATCAACGTCATCACCACCATCATCAATATCATTATCATCCTTATCCTCACCTTAATCTGTTTCATCCCCCTAATCCTCCAATTCCGTTCTCGTTAATCACTCGATATACGCCTGGAGCCACGTTTATAGGAACACCTGCCAGCAGCAGTGTTCGAACTACCACGTCAGCGTGCACAGTGTGAACCGCATGCCAGGCCACATGCACACAGATGCATATACACCTATACAGATGTGTCGACGTATTGGAATACATGTGTGCACGATATGCGCTACACTGGCATCTGCGATACTGGTGAATGCTATGTCAGCGGTCAGACTCCGTGCGATTTTGCTGACTCCTAAATGACATGTTCATCTATGGTCTGATCTGCTCAGTGCAGGTGTGCACTCTCCGAACATGTATTATCTAACAGCTTCGATGCACATATCGTTGAGTTAGGTTACATCCACACGTTGGAGTTGTCTGCTGTACCATGCCTGACGTGACCGCCTAGAACGAACCTCTGTTGTACAACCCTGTTGGGAGCATGCTTGCGCCTTATGTATGGCTTCCTCTGTCTTGGTATCGCATAGAATGGCCTTCGGCCCAGCCCACCACCGTGCCTGGACTGTGGGTCAGAGTTCTCAGGGACGCTTCTTAGAGTCTCTTCGGAGCGCTCTCGGGGGCATCTTGGGGACAGGTTTGAGGCATCTTGGGGACAGTCTGGGAGCCTCTGGGGGGCCTCTTGGGAGCCTTTTTTTTGTTGTTTGCTGCTCAGTTCCAAAGTATTCAGTCGCACCACAGTTGTCCTCAACGCCTACACGCCTAAGCAATTGCTGTGCCCGACGGAAGTGTGATGACTAAGGTCCATCACAGGCTCACGTGTCCACTCAGCGTGTCGAGCATCGCCGAATCCACCCTTGCCGGCGTGCCGACAGTCCTTGGCCTTCTGCGCGCCTTGGCCCTTGTCAACCCCTTGATGGACGACCATCGCATTCGTTGGATCACCAGGCACATGCCCAAGTCTCCACGCTGAAACGCGAGCCTACAATTGACCTCAATGCGGACGTCTAATGTTTCCAGAGCTGGCATTTTTAAGGAAAACCAGTGGCTGGTGGCGGAGGAGGCGACGTTACGCTGAGACTGGGCGAAATACTCGTCGTGCAACCAACTTTCGAGTCGGTCGACCTCTGTCTGGGCGAACAAGTCGCACACATCTTGCCCTGAATCGCTGGTGCCGAGAAGCAGCTGGAGACCAGGGCTGATGCTCCTCGTGACCACGAGCGGGTCATTATCAGACTCGCCTTTCCCGATGTCGCACTGCACATGTAGCCCTGAGTCGCGAACCTCAAAGTCTTCACTGCGCACCCTTCTTCTGCCCTCGTGCGGTGTAGCCTCGTCGGCATCAGAAGAATCATCACGTCGTTCTCGAGTCCTCCTGCTCCTACCCTTATTAGTATTCTTCTGCCGGGCTCGGAAGCCATGGACCACGAGCTTGAGGGTCATGGGAATGGCCTTTGACCAGCACGTCTCCAAGTGCACCTCCGCCTGAAACTGGGCCTTGTGCTTCTCGCTCGCGATACACAATTTGACTCCTGCACGAGCGTCGGAACGTTGACTCTCCTGATTCTGGGTGCCGTCGGCGAAGTTGCGCACCCAAATTGCGAAAGCTTCCCTCTGCTCATTGCGCACCCACGTCAGAACACCTCCCAAGTTTGTCATCTCCTCCTCGGTGAAGCCGGTAAGCATCCTGAACTCGGCGCTGCTCTCCACCAGCTCAAACTCAGGCGAACTGGGATCAAACCACAGGGCAGGTGGCCGACATCCTGTTGGAGTACATGCGTCGTCGCTGTCGCTGCTCTGCCCCGTGGACGAGCTGGCTCCATCCGAGCTGTCGTCCTGGGCAGCCAGATCGTCCGTGCTTCGGGCAGATCGCATGGCCTGCGGATGCTCCACCAGCTGCTCGGCGGGGGGCGGCGGGGGCCGAGGCCGTCTGCTCTGCGGGGCGGAGCTTGAGAAACTCGTCAGGCGAGGGACTGCAGGCAGGTCCGCTTCCCGGAAGCCGAGCAGAAACGACTCACCCCCGCCGTCGGCCTGCAGATACTTCACGCACATCGCCTCGACGGTGCACGAGATGGCGGCACTGTCCTTCAGGGAGGTATTGAAGGCCGTGCACGGGCCTGGGACCGCGCTTGATCGGGCGCCACGCACCATCTCCTCAAATCTTTCGCGTTCCTCTTCGGTGGCGATCAGGGACAAAACGCTCTCGCCCTGGATCTTCGGTGGGGACATCATCAGCATGTTCGCCACGGATTCTGCGCCCTGAGTGACCTTAAGCCCCTGGTCCAATACGACCACAGCATCACAAGTGCCCTGGAGAATTGAATCGGCCGCCTTCAGCTCTCTCTGGACCGTCAGAATCTGCACCTCGCGAATCACCCCCTCAATGAAAACTACGTTACACAGAACAGTCCACGCGATCATACCAAGCCAACATGCCACGATAGTTCCCAGAACATCTTCACCGCTGCACGTTCCATCGCCGCCGTGAACAACTGCCGTCAGAAATAAGGAGCCCCACATACTACAATTTCCGACGATGTTGATGAGTAAGCTAATGTCGTATAGAGAAAACATCCCCGATGCATACAGCGCCCGCCGTATATACCATTCGGGGTTGGACTCAGGCCCACCAAAAGAAGTCACTAGCGGCGACAGCCCCAGACCGTACGATGCCATGAAAAACAAGTATGCTGCATGCTGTACTCGATGCGTGTGTCGGCTGGGAGCAATTGACACGAAAGTTGCGTATATGAAGAAAGCTGTGTAATGCAGCAAAAAGAAAATCCCATTGGCACCAATGGTGCCAAAAGGGATGATCAACAGGCCCCACTTAACATATCGGCAGAGGATAAGGCCTACAGCCACGCGCTTGCTCCTCGCTCGCTTCGATGTCAGCTCATGGTTTGGACCAGAGCCTGAATGGATAACTTGTCTGAGCGTTCCTAGAATCTCCTTCAAAGTTTTCAGGCATCCACACGACGCAGAGCCTGCGCGAAGCTTCAACATGTAATCCCCCAACAACGAAATTATGCATATTACCGCCGCTAGTTGCGCCGCTGGCTGCACCAGATTGACAGGCACTCCCTGCAAGATCCCGTCTACGGGCGCCTCGAGGAGGCCGTCGGGCGCATCCCCGTCCATCTTCGAAACACCGACACTGTGAGGGCGGCCGCCTGCGCGGAGCTAGACGAAGTCCGCCTTGCGGGCTCCCCGAGCAGAGATACCTCACGCTCCGAAGCGGCTTGAGCCCAAATGGCTTGAGCCAAGCTACGGAGGGGGGGCCTCTTGGGAGCCTCTTGGGTGCCTCTTGGGGCCTCATGGGGGCCTTGGGGGCCTCCTGGAGGCCTCTTTATGGCCTCTTGGGGCCTCCTGAGGGCCTTTCGGGGCTAAGGGCTCTAAATGTCCATTCGGGTCCCCCGACTGGGCTTCCTTTGGGAGCTGTGTTGGGGACATTTAGGGAGGTCTTGGCAGCATCTCGAACCGTCTTGGGGCCCTCTGGGGCTGTTTGGGGGCCCTCTTGAAAGCCTATTGGGGAAATCTTGGGGGCCTCTCAGGGCGTCTCGGAGCGCCGGGAACCCGAAAAGGAGACAAAGCCAGAAACGGGTTTTCTTCAACAAACACATGGGAAATCAATGATTTGAGCCTTTCGGTCTCGGAGGCCTCTTGAAACGTCTTGGGCGCTTTTTCGTCCGACTGGAGGCCATCTTGGGCGTCTCTGGCCGATTCATTGGCGATTCGGCGCCTTGTTGCACCGCCCTGGGGGCCTCTCAGAACCCTCTTGACCCGTCTCGGGGCCCTCTTGGGCCTGGGCTCCTTCAGGGCACGGTGGCGGATATCCGCCACCGCACCCTTGACGCACAAGTTGGAGTGTCCTCGGGTCCCCTGCTGGACCCCTGGGAGCCTCAAGCCTTCCACCCGGGGGATTCCTCGCGGGGCCCGGACACAGGATCGCCAGGTCTCCCGGGGCGCGCCGCGTGGCCCCTGGGGCTCCTGACGTCTGGTCGCAGGACTTGAGCCGGCCCGAGAGGAGGAGGAGGAGGAGGAGGAGGAGGAGGAAGAGGAGGAGGAGGAGGAGGAGGAGGAGGAGGAGGAGGAGGAGGAGGAGGAGGAGGAGGAGGGGGGGAGGAGGAGGAGGGGGAGGGGGGAGGGGGAGGGGGAGGAGGAGGAGGATGAGGAGGAGGAGGAGGAGGAGGAGGCCGAGAGGCCCCCAAGACGGCGCGAGAGGGCCCCGAATCGCCAATCAATGGGTCCCAGACGCCCAAGATGGCCTCAAGACGGCCTGAGGTGCCCCCTAAGACGCCCCAAGAGGCCTTCAAGGGGCCTCCCAAGAGGACCACGAGATCTTTTACAAATGGTGGCGTTCTCATATTTTGGGCTTCCCGACGCTCCAAGAGAGCCCAAGAGGCCCCCAAGATCGCCCCAAGACGGCCGAAGAGGCCTCCCAGAGGGCCCCAAAAGGGCCCCAAAACGGCCCCAGAGGGGGCCAAATATCCAAGACGACTCCAAGAGGGGGCCCCGACGGGGTACCCGAACGGACATTTCGAGCGCTGGGCCCGGAGAGGCCGCCAAGAGGCCGTCAGCCCCCAAGAGGTCCCCGAGAGCGCTCCGAAGAGACTCCAAGAAGCATCCCTGGGGACTCTGAGCACCAAACCAGGCACGATGACGGCATGGCCGAAGGGCATCAGATATAGATGTCTCTCTCTCTCTCTCTCTCTCTCTCTTTTTTCTCTCCCTCGTTCTACGTATGTGTATAGATGTATATGTGTATATATTTATACTACTGTGGACACGTGGATCGAATCCACGGAGCTGCGTGAGTCGAAGTTTGCCGACGCGCGCTTCTGTCCAGGGTGCGCAGATGCCAACAAGCTGCGGTGTGCGATCGACAACCAACGTGAAATCGACGATGTTCGCCTCTTCAGGCCCTCTTGGGGGTCTTCGTAGGGCTCTTTTGGGACGTCTTGGGCCCTCTGGGGCCGCATTGACAGCATCTTCAGCCGTCTTGGGGCCCTCGTGGGCAGACTCGGGGCCCTCTTGGCCTGTCTCGGGGGCCTCTTGGGGGCTTGTTGGACCATCGTGGGGGTTAATTGGGCCGTCTTGGGGACCTCTTGGCCCCTGCTGGGCTGTCTTTGGGGTCTCTTGGGCGCCTCTTGGGCCGTCTCAGGGCGATCCTGGAGGGCTCTTGGGCCGTCTTGGGGGTCCAGACGGTCGAGAGCGCGAGAATCTCAGAATCTGAAAAGAACCCACAGGAAATCTACGATTTCGGCCTCTTGGCGCCATGCAGGGTGTCCCCTCGGAGCTGTCTCGGGGCGCCTTGGCGCGTTACGGGGCCGTCTTGGCAGCATCTTGGGCCGTCGGAGGGCCGTCTAGGGTCAGCTCGGGGCTGTCGTTGGTCGTCTCGGGGCCTCCTTGAGACGTCTCGGGGCTCTGCTGGGGAGCTCCGGTGCCGTTTCGGGGCCCTCCAGGGACCCTCACGGTGCCGTTGCGGGCTCCCATGGGGGGCTCGGGGAGCTGGGGGCCCTCGCCAAGCCGCAGAGCTCCTTTCGCATTTATTTGAGTGGATATACAAAAATAGATCGGTCTCTCTCTCTCTCTCCTCCGCTCTGCCTGTGATTCATCATGTGCGTAAGAGCATGATACGGAACGTACTGCATGCGTGGTATATCAAACATTCTAGGTCCACACTACATATTCAGGCTGACATCATGCTCAAACACATGCTTGCCATCGGTGGTATCATCATCACCGGCACGAAACCTACTCAGCCTGAATAGTGCACTATGTGTGCTTCGTGCCGATGGTGGTGTGCGACTTTCGATGCTACACATGAAGACCATGACGATGGTCATGGTGTGCCGATGGTGACGATGGCGATGATGGTAATGGCAATGACTAAGATGATTGAGCACCACTGAAAGGACCCAACGATGATAATGCTGATGATGACAACACATGACACCTTGATGACAGTAAGCCGTGTCATCATGATCGAAAGGGCAGCAAGATGACCTCTACGGCAAGGCGGGCGGGCATGATCCAGAGGGCAATGGGTCTGAGCCTGACTCTATTGCTAATGCGAACCGCATCATTCCGCAATCGCACCAGCGATTAGAACGCTACCCTGCATCTAAACCGAACCCAAGTTGACCCAGTCTACTGGAGGCCTCCCAAATGGGGTCCAAACAAATGGGGTCAGAGGAGCGCGCCGCATCGCCGATTCATCGCCAATGCGTCGGCAATGTATCGGCGACGCAAGCGTGGAGAAAAACGGGTTCAACATCGAGCCGCATCGCCGATGCATCGGCGATGCGGCCGATCCTCCGACCCTCCCCCCCCCACTTCGACCCCGTTTGGGAGGCCTGTATCCACATCTCTTCGAAACCTCATGCGTGTCGCGACGCGCTGCTCCGAAAGAGGCGGAGGCGCTGAGGGGGCTCGCGCCCGACCCGAAGCGAGCGCGCAGACTGAGGCGGAAAGCCGCAGAGAGCGGCAGTGCGGCAGCACGCGGGGGGAGAGACGAGCGCAGAGGCAGGCAGCGTGCCGAGAGGGAGAGGCGCGAACGGAAGAAGAGCGCAAAAGCAACGTCAAGCCGAGAGGAAGAGAAGCGAAATACGAAACAAGAAGCAACGACGATGAGACATCTTGCTGCAAGATAGCTTGGGGCACATCCGTCGTCGGTGTGTGAGCTTATTGTGAGGTGCCCTAGGGCTTCTGTGGGCTCCCAGGGCCATCGGGGGGCACGAAGCTTCTGTGGGACACCTGCTGGCCGGCCCATCTCTTACTCCTAGGTGAACAACCATTCCTCCTCCTCCTCCTCCTCCTCATCCTCCTCCTCCTCCTCTTCCTCCTCCTCCTCCTCCTCCTCCTCCTCCTCCTCCTCCTCCTCATCCTCCTCCTCCTCCTCCTCCTCCTCCTCCTCTCTTACTCCTAGATGTCCTAACTCGGCGCTGAAACCCCTCCCTGGCGCGCGAAGCGCGCCAGGGTGGGGCCAGACGTCGATGCGAGAAATCCGTGCGGACCTCCGCGCGGAATCGGTGCAGATTGTCTCTGTCAAGTGTTTGCTCGCCGATGGCAGACCTGCTGGGGAAACCCGAATGTCCGCCTCCGTGCCGCTAGGCACGGAATGGGCACGTCCTCAGGTCCTTTGCCCAATCCTCCAAGCCTCGGTCCTCTCTCCTGAGGAGTCTTTGAGGGGCATGGAGCTCAAATTCTGAATTCTCTCAGGGCTTCCCGCGGCTTGTCGGGGATCCGGCGTGTCTTGTCGCACGAGTTGTCGGGCCCAAGAGGGGCTCAACACAGGCCAAGAGGGCCCCCAGAGGCCTCCAAAACGGCCTCAAGACGGCCCAAGAGGCCTCCAAGATGCCCAAGAGAGCCCCAAGAGCCTTCCCGAGAGCTCGGAGAGGCCAAAATCATTGATTTACCAAAAGTTTTCCAATGATTTAGGAATCGTTGACTTTTCGAGCAACCGACGCTCCAAGACGGCCCTAGATGCCCCCAGGACCGCCCCAAGAGGGCCCAAGAGGAGGCCCCCATGAGGGCTCCAACACGGCCCAAGAGGGCAGACGGCCTCATAAGCGCCCAAGACTGCCCAATAGGGCCGAAAGACAGCCCCCAAGAAGGGCCTAAGAGGGGGAACACAAACCGAAAATTCTAGTCTTCCGCCCCAAGAGGCCCCAAGGAGGCCCCAAGAAGCCCCCAAGAGGCCCCAAAAGACCACCAAGAGGCCCCGAAGAGGCCCCAAGAAGCCCTAAACGGCCCCCAACAGGCCTCACAACAGCCCTGGAGAAGCCCCCGAAAGGCCTCCCGCGACATCCGAATGACCCAAAACCCAGCCACGGTGGCGGGATGGGCCGAAGGCCATGAAATCCGCCGCCCCCTGTTGATTCATCACAGGGGTGCCCCGCGTGCTAGACACGTTCGCTTTTGGTTTTGGTTCTTTTCCAAAAGAACTCCCCCTGGGGTTTCGGCCCGTCCCGCCGGAGATGCGTAACAGGTGGTTGCAAAGGATTGTTCGGCTCCAGACGGCTCCAAGATGGTCAAGATGGCCCAAGATGGCCTCCAAGTTTGTCCAAGATGGTCCACCAAGATGGCCTCGAAGACGGCCCAAGAGAGTCCAAGATGCCTCCTCGTTTGCACAAGAAACACCTAAGACGGCCTAAGACGGCGCAAGAGGCCTCCAAGAGGCCTCCAAGACGGCCCAAGAGGCCTGGAAGAGTTCCTCCAGGACGTCCCGAAGAGGTCAAAATAATGATTGTTCCTCAGGTAATTGAAGGATTGTTGCTTTCGCTCCTTTTCGGTCTTCCGACGGCCCAAGACGGCCCAAGAGCTCCTCAAGATCGCCCCAAGAGTGCCCAAGAATCCAAGATGACCCCAGGACGATCCAAGAGGCCCCCAAGATGGTCCAAAAGAGGGCCCAAAGACGGCCCAAGAGGCCCCCAAAACGCCCAAGACAGTCTCCAAGACGGCCAAGATAGCCTCCAAGATGCTTCCGACACACGGTCAAGATGAGCTTCAAGACGGCCAAGATGGCCGCCAAGACGGCCAAGATGGCTCAAGATGGGCCCAAGAGGTTCCAAGATTGCCCCAGAGGAGTCCAAGAGGTGCTCCAGGAAGGCCCGAGGGAGCCAAAATCTGGAATTTTCCGTAGGTGTTTGAAGGATTATTGTTTTTCCTCGGTTTTGGTATTCCGACCGCCTAAGACGGCCCAATGAGTCCCCAAACTAGTCCCAGAGGCCTCCCAGATGGCTCCAGAATGGCCCAAGAGGCCTTCAAGCCAGCCCCAAGAGGGCCCGAAAGGCAGCCCAAGAAGTCTCAAAAACGGCCAAGATGGTCTCCAAGACGGCCTGCAAGACGGCCCAGGAGAGTCCAAGATGCCTCCAAGTTCGCACCAGAAACCTCTTCTCAGACGGCCCAAGACGGCCCCAGAGGCCTCCAAGAGGCCTCCAAGACGGCCCAAGAGGCCTCCAAGAGCTCCACCAGGAAGGTCCGAAGAGGCCAAAATCATTGATTTGCCTTCGGTGTTTGAAGGATTGTGGTATTTTCTTCTCATGACACACCAAGAGGCCCCCAAGAGGGCCCCAACAAGACCCCAAGACGGCCAAAGAGGCCCCCAAGACGCCCAAGATGGCCTCCAAGACGGCCAAAACGGTCTCCAAGATGCCTCCAATACCTTCAAGAAGGTCTCCAACACGGCGAAAATGGCCCCAAGATGCACCCAAGACGGCCCCAGATGGCCTGAAGATGGCCTTTGACTGCCCAAAAGGCCCGCCAGAAGCCTCCAAGGCCCAAGACCCCTCCAAGACGTCCTCCTGGAGGCCCGAGAGCTCGGAAACCACCTGGTCCGATAGCTCGCCCGACTCCGTGTTCCCCGAAGGCTTTCGAAACCCACTCGGGGAACGCGTGGCCCGATAGCTTGGCCAAGCTGAAACCCAACTTTCGGCCGCGCAGGCGCTTCCAAAAAGGCAGGGGCGGTGATGATTCGCCGTAGGCGTCTTCGATATCGATACCGCTACTCCCCTGACCTCTCCTAGGGTGCGTTCTGACCAAAATTCCAAGACAAATCCGGCAGAGGGCCTCCCGGGAGGCCCAAAGAGGCGGAAACGACGCCAGGGTAGCGGCATCGGTACCGCTTCCTCCCCTGACCTGCTGGCAGGCCCATTTCAGATTTGATGCGCCTCCCTCGACTCCACGCAAGAGTGCCCCTTGGTAGGAGTGACCGTGGTGCGCGGCTTTTCGGAGGCCGCGGGGGGATCAAACACAAGCGCGCAAGACGCTACTACCGCATCGCGTTCGGCGATCGGGACCCCACTGGGCCCGCATCAAAAGTCACTCCGGCGGAGGGTCACTCTTACGTGGAGTCACCTCCTGTATGGGGGAGGCGGCACGCTCGAAGGTCGCGGGCCCGCGCCTCCGCGTCCTCCAGCCGCTGCCGCTGCAGCGCGCCCTCGGCCGCCGCGTCCCGGGCCTGCTTGGCCAGCTGAGCCTGCCCCGGCAGGGCGCCTCCTCGTCTCCACGAGGAGGGGGAGGGGGAGGGATGGGGGGGCAGGGGAAGGGGGAGTAGAAGTGAGAGAGGGAATATCTGCAAGGCTACACGAAGAAATACGTGCGGCGCTGGCGGCCCCTTGAGCGGTGCTCTAGGCGTCACCTGGCCACCTGGCCCTAGTTTGATCACCCCCCCCCCTCAGGGTCGACCGGCCCTGAGGCGGGGGAGGCTGCGATCATGGATCTTTCCAGCCACCAGGAAACAGGAACCAGGAGGAGAAAGGAGGAGCACAGCGCAGATCAACAACATGTTTTCAGCCCGCGTAGCGCGCGGCAGGCCTCATGCCAATGGGGGGCGGCACGCCGATATCGCAGTCCTCGACGTCAGAGAAGGCATGCACTTGTAGGCATGCACTTGTAGGCAAGCACCGAACACAGTCTCCGCCCTGGGAGCCTGTAACGTTTAACGCAGGTGGAGTCGAAGATGACCGTGGGGAAGCGGGAGGCGGAGGCGGAGGAGGAGAAGGCCCCCCGCGCCCCCGTCCACAGACCTCCAGAGACTCGAAACAAGCGAGACTGAGGTGTTCGTGGGTTTCGGTCTTCGGACGCACGTTGCGCAATGTATGTGGTGCAGTCGATGCTGTGCAATATTTGTTGTGCAACCTACGTTGCGCAATAGAACTGGATCTACGAGGTACAATTACATGTTGCGCAACCTACGCGGCGCAAACTATGCGGTGCGACATACGTAATGCAAGATACGATGAGCAGCCTATGTTGCGCCATCTATGATGTGCACTCTACGTGGTGAAATCTATGTGGCGCATTTCACTTTTAGAACTCGCAGTTGTCAACTCCGCTGCTCGCGCAAGCAGCCCACCCACCCACCCACCCGCAATTTGTTTTGCAAAACACATGCGGCTGCGATTGCGCTGAGTGCTTAGTGTTGGCTGGTGCATCTCTGCGGCCGCACAAGTCCGCGCATGTTCGCACGCGCAGCGGCATGTGGTCTGGCGCGACCGACGCGGCCCCGGTTGCGCTAACCTCTGAGCATCTCCCAACGGGCACTTCAGTGCGAGTCGGCCACTTGGGCGGGCGCGACAACAATAGACACGAAGATGATAGCAGCGACGCTGGTGACGATGATGACAACGGCAACGGCACGGCCAGTGACGGCGCCGATGCTGATCACGCCGACGTCGACGAAGGCGTCATCGCGTCGGTGATGAAGGTTCTGGAAGGAGTTCGACATGCGCGCGCGGCCGACGCGCGAGAATGGCCCGCATGGTATTCTTTGGAACGGACCGTCCCCCCCCCCAAAAAAAACACGCGCTCGCAAGGGCGTTCGATTGATGTCGACCTACAGCGCGAAAGGCCGGCTTGGCCGAACTTAATGGACACGCTGGGAAGCCGATGGTTGTCTTGAGAATCCGCAAGAGCGCGAGCTCCGTGCTTTTTGAAAATTGATGCTGCAAAACAATATGTTTTACATGTTATCGGGGCATGTATTCGGGGCACTCGATTTCGAAACCCGTTCGGAACCTTAGGCTTTTGAAGGATTCCGGCATGTGCGAGCAAACGACGCGCGCGCGTGCGCACTGCATCTCATTATCTGCAAGGGATTATTGCGACAGCACGCGTGCAAGGGCGTTCGAACAATTTCGACATGCGCGCGCGAGAGGCCCATTTGGTGGCAGTGTAAGAACATGTTCAAAAACCGATGGTTCCCTTCAGAATTCGCATGAGCTCGAGCGCAAACTTGTTTTGCGAATTCTTGTTGCCAAACCATGTGTTGTTTATATGTGTTCGAATTTAACAGAACCTAAGGTTTTAAGGATTTCGGCATGCGCGCACGACGACGCGCGCGTGTGCACTTCGTACTATTATGTTGCAAGGGAGTCTTGAAAACTTGTGATGTTTGGTAAACGATTGCGCGCGCATAGCACCCTCTGCAATGGATGAGGGGGGTGAACCGTTACTGGCCTGCTTGGGATGGTACGAATTCGGAGTTCGGATGGATGATGGGGCATAATCAGATGTAAATAGCAGTACGAAAAGGAAGGCGGTTAAACCCTGGGGGTAGATCGTAATATATATATATATATATATATATATATGTGTGTGTAACTATATAGATTAGGACGAATAATATATGTGAAGCAATGATGTAACGCACTATATGTTGTGCAATATATGTTGCGCAGTCTATACTGTGCAAAAGATGTGGTGATGTAGATGTGGTGCAACACATGCTGTGCAATCGAGATGGAGCAATAGATGTGGTGCGATCTATGTGATGCAGTCTATGTGGAGCAATGTATGTTGTGCGGTATATGTTGTACAATATATGTGGTAGTGCCTATGATGTGCAATACACGCGCAATCGATGGGGCACGCTCCATGTTGTGCAACATATGTGGTGCAGTCTATGTTGCGAACGATCAAATATCGCGCCGCGCCAATCCTTTCTGTGTCATCTAACCGCGGTGACGGGCGGCGACTAGGCGGCGACGGGGCGGCGACGAGGCGGTGACGGGGCGGCGACGGCCGGCACGGAGCCGCCAGACCGCCCACACGGCCCAGCTCCTTAGAGCTTAAGTCAGAAACCCTTAGTTCAAGCACTGTTTATGGAAGCATACAGACCAGGGCTCCCAACTTCGCGCTTCGCGCTGCGCGAAGCGCGAATAACTTCGCGCTCTCGCGCCGCCCTCCCAAAGGGAGAATAGGAGGACGAGGAGGAGGGGGAGAAGGAACGAGGACCGCGAAGCGCGAAGCGCGAATAACTTCGCGCCCTCGAGGGAGCCCTTGACAGAGTGCACGTTGCACCAAAATTTGGATCAGGCGCGGACGCCCCGCGATCCCTTTGCATTGGTTTCGTTGCGGCGGGGGGGACAGGCATATTGCCTGCTGTGTGACATGCCAACATCCCCCAACCGTCCCTGCCAAAAACACAATGTAGAGCGCACGCTGCGGCAAAATCTGGATCGCGCGCGGGTACCGAACGATCACGTTGCATTGTTGTTTGTACAAGGACGACGGGTGTGCTGGCCTATTGCCTGGGCGTGTTTTGAAGATTCCGCTGGCCTCCTTGGGGTCAGTTTGAGGCGGTCATGGGGCCGCTTGTGGGCAGTCTAGGAGCCGTCTTGGGCCCCCGTACGGTTTTTCTGGAGTCGGGAAAGGTTTTCGGTGCCTCCCCTGCGTTCTCGGACGCCTGGCAAGCCGAATGAGGACATAGCCGAAAAGCATACAAAACCAAAGAAACAATTAAGATGTTTGAGGTTTCGAGCGCCTCTTGAAGGTGACATTAGAAGCGCCTTCGAGCATCCAGCAAGGGCCTGGACCGCATGATGCCATCTTGGACCGTTTGTGGCGTCTCTACGGCCTTGCGCCAGCCGTCGTGGGGTCAGTTCTGGGCGGTCATGGGGGCTCTTGTGGGCAGTTTGGGGACCGCTAAGGGCGCTCATGGGGCTCATTTGTCGTCAGTACGTTTCCAACGTTCTCGGACGCGTGGAAGGCCGAATTAGCGAGTATCCGAAAATCATACAAAAAACACTGAAACATCGACTTTTCGGGGTTCGAACGCCTCTTTGGGGTGACTTTGGGGTGATCTTCGGGCATCCGGCGGGGTCAGGGCCAGCTGGATGCCATCCTGGACTGTCTTGGGTGGCTCTTGGGCCTTTCATCGATCGATTTGGGACTGCCACCCGCCTGCGCGCACGCCTTGGCAAGGATTTCCGGCCTCTCCCCGTGCCACGGATCCAGGGGGTCCCGTTTCGGGGTGGGGGGCGGTCGCACTCCCCCGGAATATAAGAATATAGGAAAGGAAATGTATGTGTGTATACACACACACACACATACGTTTCGGGCAGCGATCACGCGCTGGAGCCCCGCGATGTTTTGGCAGTGTTATTTCAAAGGGGTGATGGGGGATGCCCTGGCACGCGCGGCGAACCTCGCGGGCGTCGCGCACCTGGCTGGCATCTGCATTGGTTCCCGACCATGGTCGATGGCGGTCCCTGCCCATGCCGAGACTCGAATGCTACTTATCTGGCGGGAGGGCGGGTGGGAGTGAGCGGGACGACCGTCCTTCTGGGGGGGAAGCTTGATCACTGCTCCCTATGACTAAACACCCCCTCCCCCAGGCGACTGGCAGCCAACTCGAATTCACAACAACACACCCCAAACATCCCTTTCTCAAAACGACAAAATACAATGTGCCTCCGAATATGCAGCATACGTGGGCGCCCCACAACCACTGCGCATGTGTTTTTGACACGGACGGCGGGAGTGCCCTCAGATTGCCTGCCGCGCGCAAGCCAACCATCCCTGTCAAAAGAACAATGCAAACACGCGTTGCCTTCTAATCTGGAGCATGCGCGGGCGCCCCGTGACCACAATCGTTTGTAGGGACGACGCGGGTACCCTCACATTCTTTGCAGCGCGCAGGCCGATCACCCCCATCAAAGAACAAGACAAAGTACACATTGCCTCCAGGCAGCGCAACGATCGCCCAAGAACGTCCGCAGAGACCCCCAAGATGGTCCAGGAGTGGCCAAGGCGGTCCAAAGAGCATCACGAGACGCCCAAGATGGCCTCAAGACTGCCCAAGAGGCCCCCAAGACCCCCCACGAGGGCTTCAAGAGGCCCTAAAGAGGGAGCCCAAAGAAGCGAAAATCCATGATTCGGTTCAGGTATTTCATAGGTGCTAGCATTCTCGCCTGTTCGGGCTTCCGACGTTACAAAACAGCCCAAGAAGTTCCCCAAGAGGGCCCCAAGACCGCCCCAGAGGGCGCCAAAACGGTCCAAGAGGCGCCCAAGGTGGCCCACGAGAGCCCCAAGAGGGAACCAAGACAGGGAACACGAACTGACAGGTCCAGTCCCCGCCCAAAGATGACCCCCGAGACCGCCAGCAGGCCCCCAAGAGACCCCCAAGAAGCCCCCAAGCAGCTCCAGGAGGTCCCCGAGAGGCCCAAAAGAGGCCTCTCCCAAGAGGTCCCCGCGAGAGGTCCCAAGACACCCCAAAACTACGTCCAAGAGGCTCCCGAGAGGCCTCCCCAGAGATCCCAACAGGCTTCCAAGAGGCCTCTGACCTGCAACCCAGGCGCGGTGGCGAGATGGGCTGAGGGGCACCAAACAAGCTTCCAAACGCGAATTGCATATCTAGAGTCACCGCCACAGCCTACATGTTTGGTTTGGGGCGTGCCCGACATGTTCGTGCCAACTGGCACAGGTAGAGAGCAGAAAAGCCACCCTCAGAGTGAGCGCACCCGAGAAGAGAAGGCGTTCAGCAAACGCACCCCAGGAAGGACTCGAACGGGGCAGGGCTGCTCAGTCAACGCCCAGGGCCCGTTCGCAAACGCCCATTCTGGGGGTCGGGGCAGCGCATCCCCCCTCGGCCCGTGAGCAGGAGGGAGCCGCCTGAGCTCAAGGGACCCAAGGACACACAAATAAATACGCACAAATGAAATAATCCCCCATATTTTCCTATATTTTCTGGGTTTTTGTCTTCCCCCCCACTTCCCATATTTTCCCATATTTTCTGGGGGATCGACGATTAATTGTGTCTGTGTGTCCCTTTCCCTCCTGATGAGCGGCGGAGAGCGGCAGGCGGGGCGCGCCTCGAGCGCCGCCCTGGCCTCATCCGAAACCTTCAGGCGCCGCTCGACGTCCGCCACCGCCTGGGGCCCCTCCCCGGCACGGCTGGCGGCTCGGGAGCCGAAGGTGACTACCTACCAGACCACCCCAACCCGACCCGAAGACCCGAATTTCGGGTTGGGGGGGGTAAGGGTTCCACATGTGTTTTTGTCGATGTTTCCCGACCCCCCCCCCCTGGAAATCGAGGGCAAATCTGAGCCTTCGGATTGGGTTGGGGTGGTTTGGTGGGCGGTGAGAAGGCTCGGAGGCTGGAGGGCAGCCTGGCGTGCTCTGGCGGCTCTTCACGGCTCCCGTGTTTCTTCACGGCTTTCGCCTCCCACCGGTTGCTTGCTGCCCCTCCCCCGATGCGGCACTGCAGGACCGGCTGCTTCCAACTCTGGCCCGTGCCAAAAAGAAGAAGGCACCAGCCAGAGGGCAACGAGGCGGTCCTGCAGCCCCCCAAAACCTGGCGCTTCGAAAACTCGTCCTCCAGTCGGCGTCCAAGAAGCACTCTCCTCACCAAGGTCATAGCCGTCGGGTTGTGGGACCTCAGTCGGTGATGGCGCGAGCATCAGAGCGCACTTGGGAAACGACTGCAGCTGAGCGAGGGACCTGCTAAGCGGACTCCTGGAATGCTGGAAGGGAGAAAAAAAGGAGGGGACAAGAGGGGCGGGCGCCAGCTTCGTTACGACTGGCCCCTCACCTGCTCACTTGGCGGCGCTGAGAGGGAACCGCACTCGGGCATGCAGTGATGCTTAATTTCGCTCCCTTGAGCTATAGCATACTGCTTTGACGGCGCGGCGGGAACCTCGAGAAGGGCTCAAGACCCCACAATGAGCATCGAGGTTGCTACCGGTGCGCCTTGCAGCTGCCGCAGGGTGTCCCCCAACCTGGGATCGGAGGCGAGCCTCAGCCCTCGTCTCCAGCCTCGAAGAGAAGCGACCGCGACGAACGCGAAGGGAAACGAGAAAACATCAAAACCACCGAGCACGCGGGCATTTAGAAAAGCCAGAGCGTCATCAGGCATTCAACTTGAAGGAGGGCGAGGAGCCAGGAAGGGGACGAGGATAACGAAGGCACGAGGTGGTCAAGCCAGCCTGACTGCAGGATCCACAGACAAGGGCAGCGAGCACAAAGAGCCCAGCATCGGAGCCGCCCCATGAAGAGTAGAACGCGTCTGGGTGGCAACCAGAAAGAGGGCCATGACACTTCAACTGAGAACTCGCACTACTTTTGACCACCTCTGCACAGAATATGGAAACGAAACGCGAGGTGCTACAGGGCGGCACCCGCCGGCTTCTTCACTGCATGGCGAATAGCAGGGGCACAGTCAGCAGTGATGCACGGCAGCCAGCTCTCCATACGAATCAGCAGAGCCTCTGAGGGAATAGAGCTCGGTCCGAACAAGTGGCGCCGAAATCGATACAGAGCACGTTGGAGGCACCCCCGATCATCTGCAAAGACAGGCTGGCAGAGGAAAGGGCAGCGCACATCACCTCTCGTCGAGACGAAACACGGCGCAGCGCTGAGACGGCGCTTGCGGTGCTTCGCAGGAACTACCTGCCTCACCACTCGCAATCAAGGCCATTCCAAATCGCTTCAAAAAGCTGGAGATCGGCACCGAAAACGGAATCCCGCACGCCATGTATGCGCAGGCGGTCTAGGGCACGACACAAGACTCGCCCACGCGGACCCAGGACCCTCAAAAACTATCCTGCCACATACCCGAAGGGACGCCAAGATGCCTCGAGGGGCTCCACATAAAGCCCTGAGAAAGCCCAAAGAGAGCAACCTACTGCCCCCAAAAGGACCATGCCCAACCCCACAAAGGACACAAAACAAGCCAAAATGGTAGGTCACACACGTGTCCAGGCCAGGACCCTCAATACCTCACTGATTGAAAGCATTGCGTCTTAGATTCTCCCAAAAGGCCGCCCGCCAAGACTCCCGCTGTTGCGACATATGTAACTGCCCTCCTGCCGCTAACCATACCAAAACGAAACAACACGAGCCGTTCGACGCTCGTGTTGACACCGTCCCTCACCTCCATTACTCCCGCTACGGCGGTCCTCCTCCACTTGCTCCTCCTCCGCTCCCCATTCCTACCTGGCCTCCCCATCATCCTTCTGCCCTTGGAGCCTTCCAGGAGACCGAAGATGCCACACACACACACACACACACACGCACACACACACACACACACACACACACACACACACACACACACACACACACACACACACGCACACACACACACACACACACACACACACACACACACACACACGCACACACACACACGCACGCACGCACACACACACACACACACACACACACACACACACACGCGCGCACCCCAGACGCGAGGCCCCTGGAGGCCTGGAGAGAGGCGGTCCAGCGCTGAGGGAGCACCGAGGAGCTGGGACACACGCACGACTGGAGTCACTCGTGGAACGTCCATGGGGCCACACGCTGGACGCACGCGCGAAAGCCCGGCGTACCTGTGCCACGGAAGAGCCCCGCGCTGGAGAGGCATCTGGCCGCGTGGCAGTCCAGCGCTCGCCCGAACCAGCCGCGTGACCTGGCTTCCCGGTGGTCACGGCGACCTCCCAGCACTCTGCCCGCCCTCACGCCTCCTTCTCGCCTCCGTTCCTCTGCTGGCCATCACAGCGTTCGTCGTCGTCCTCCTGCGCGTCAGCCTACCCAGACAGCCCGTGCAGCCCAGGCTGCATTCGCCCCGTCTGCCTCTGGGAAGCCAGCGGGATGGTACTCTTCGTTTGAACATGGTTCACAGGCCGTGGTGCTGAAGCCCGACCGGGCCAATCGTCACTAGCTGCACTGATTCACTTGACCACAGATCGGCGCACCTCTTTCCTGGGAAGTCAATACATACGTGATGAACGAATCAATGCCAAGACACTGTAGTCGATGCGATGGAAACAAGACGGGTGTACCTACATCCAGCGCTGCGCTCGAGCACACAAGCTCAAATATCTAAAACATGTTTCTGAAGCGCCTCCTCGTTCGCCTCTAAAACAACGACACTTGTAAGAGGCCTGCGCTCACAAAAGCCACTGGCGCCCCACAGGTTTGCAGACTCATTGCGTGTGTCCACATCCTCGTCACTGGCACAAGGAGGAGAAGGCCGAGGAAGAGGAGGAGGAGCAGGACGACAGAGGTAGAGGAGGAGCAGGAAGAGGAGGAGCAGGAAGAGGAGGAGGGCTGAGGAAGAGGAAGAGGAGGAGCAGGAAGAGGAGGAGGAGGAAGAGGAGGAAGAGGAGGAGGAGGAGCGCCTGTGCGATGGCAGCCTGCATGCCCTTCGAAGACTCGGCCCAGTGCCGATTGGCCATGGCCTCCTCCTGGGCCCAGGGGCGGCACGCGCGCCAGCCACAGCGCGTGAGCGCGCACGGCGTCCACACGAGTACTCTGACGATGGAGGTAAACGAGGAGGGAGTGAGAATCGGAAGCAACGAAAGGTAGACAGAAGCATGATACCGGAGAGAAAAAAAAAACAATCCTAATCTTTTTAGGGCTGTAGGGCTATAGGGTTATATGGGCTATAGGGCTATTGGGCTATAGGGTAATAGAGCTACAGGGCTATAGGGCTGTAGGGTATAGGGGTATAGGGCTATAGAGCTATAGGGCTATACGGCTATAGGGCTATAGGGCTATTGAGCGATAGGGCTATAGGGCTATAGAGCTATAGAGCTGTAGGGCTGTAGGGCTACAGGGCTATTGGGCTATGGGGCTATAGGGCTATAGGGCTATAAAGCACCTCCCCGGGCACCCGGGCACCCCCAGGCACGCCCGGGCACCCGGGCACCCAGGCACCCCCGGGCACCCGGGCACCCCCGGGCACCTGGGCACCCGGGCACCCGGGCACCCCTGGGCACCCGGGCGTGCGGCGAAAATCGGTGGCAAACCTAACCTAACCATAGGACCCCTACAGAGGCAAGCTCTGATTGGGGAATAAGACCCAACAGGAAAGGACGACTGTGAGAAAGCAGCACGCAAGTCTGCAGCACATGAGGAGGGAATTCCGAAGCAGCTTGGGCGTCTTCGGGGCCTCTTGGGACCGTTTAGGGCCCTCTCGGGACCTCCATTGGCCTGTCGTGGCCTGCTTCGGGGCGGACCCGGGCCGCCTCGGGGCATGCATCCAAGTGCAGCACATACGTCTGCAGCAAAGAAGTCGGCAGAAGCACATGAGTCTGCGCAAAGCGAGAACGACGAGAGCAGCCCACAAGCCTGGATTGCACACCAGCCTCGACTTCCAGGAACGCGGTGGTGCTGAGCAGGGCAGGCGGGGCGGGCGTGCCCAGTGGCAGGCGGCCGACCCACAGTCAAGAACAGCATGTGCCGAGATCGCAGATGCGGGGTCGAAAATCCAGAGGTCCGCAGGAGTGGAGAAGAGTGGCTCCAGGAGGGCATCCGAGGTAGAAATGTGTGCACCACCACCTGGGGGCACTGCGCTTCCCAGGCTGTGTGGCTCAGGGCCGACCCCAGGCCTAAACGGAAATGGCACCAGGCCGCAGAGACAGTGAAGGGGCCCCAGGACACACAAATAAATACACACAAATAAACAGATTCCCCATATTTTCCTATATTTTCTGGGTTTCTGTCTTCCCCCCCACTTCCCATATTCTCCCATATTTTTCTGGGAATCGCCGATTAATTGTGTCTGTGTGTTTTTTCCCCTCCTGAAGGACTCCGGCGTCGTCGCGTGCCGCCAGCGCCAAGACGACTCGCTGCTAAGGTGGTCTGCGCTGTCACGATGCGATTGACCACTGCTCGTGGCCCTGTGGAAGCACGGCCCTCAGTGCGTCCTGCGAGCGCAGCAGTATTCAACTGATGCCTCAATCAAATTACCATAGGCAACGTGGGAAGTTGTCACTCCGATCTAGCAGACTGGCCTCGTGTACCCGCGGAGAGGTCTATCTGGCGTCTACCGTTCCCAGAGGTTTCTCAGGCGCCCAGTTGCGACGGCCCACAATACAGTGTCCTGATGGCGAATCTCTGATCTGAGAATCACATTTCGTAAGCCTGTGAGCCGCACGCCCACGACCGTCTTGTACGCAGGCGCGCACATCCAGTACATGGCAGCTGGCATGCAAGCTCGTAAGGATTTCGTGCACGATGATTACGCAGTGGGCGTGTGGCTGCCTTGTTCATGCCTGCCTTGGACTGGCCTTGCTGCGGTGCTTCTACCGCAATCCCTCATTCCCACGAGTTCTTTGCCCAGGATCGGTGTATACGCCCTCCTGCCTTGGGCAAGAAGGCATATACACCGATCATGGGCCCAGGGTGATCCTGGGCCAGGATCGGTGTTGGTGTATAGTTGGTGCCCTCCGATTTCGGGCGATCTCGGCCTCGAGGGGTCAGGAAGCAGCCCCCGGCCATTTCCTGGATTTCGACCCGGATTTCGACCGGATTCGACCTGGAGTTCGACAGGAATCCACCTGGAGGCCTGGACTTCGACAGAAGTGCGCTTCGGCCTGGACTTCGACAGGAATCCAGACGAAGCGACGAAGAGCCCCATGGAGGCCCAGACAGGAAGAGCGATGGCCCAAACCTCGTTGAATCTCGAACGTCGAAGAAGCTCCATGCGATCCCCTACCTGAAAAAAGACAAAAACAATAAGAATCGAATCGGGAAATCTAATCGAAGCGGAACGCGTGTCAGATCGGGCTGCATCGGTTCGTAGCTGGAATCGAAAATCGGATCGGCCGCGGATGGATGCACAGCAGCGCACACAAGCATCGGGCCGCGCCAGGATGTGTCGGAACATCAGGATCGAGCTGGATCGGGACGGCCGTAACCGATATCGAATCGGATCGATCGGATCGAATTCCACCCTGACCTCGGTTCTCGGAGTACCTGCCGACCCCCGCTTTCCGGGGGTGACAAGGCGTGTGAACTATATGGCTGTCCCCCTCCCCCCTTCCCCCCCCCCCTTGGGTCCAAAGTCGCGTTGGAGCGGGGGGGCAAACACAGGGCCTCGGAAGCCTCCAACTCTTGAGTTCGTGGCCTCCAAAATGCTCAAGATTCCGCTTGCTCAAGCTGGGCTCCAGCACGCCGAAAAGGCCCCAAACCATCCTAGATAGCACCAAGGCGGGCCTAAAAGCATCCAAGACACCCCGAAGAGAGCTCCAAAAGGACCCCCAAGAGGGCCCCAAGAGCTAAAAATTACTCCAACACGTTGGGAAAAAAACGCATGCTTTGCATGTTATGTTTCTTGGTCTTAGCAGCGTCCAAGGCGGCTCAAGACGACTGCCATGTCGCTCCAAAACGGCCCCCCAGGACGCCCCCAAACGGTCCAAGAGGGCCCCAAAACGGCCCAAGAGGCGCCCAAGAGGACCCTAACCAGGCCCCATGAGGGGCTCCAGGTAACTCGAATTGCATGTTCGTGAGGACCCCCGAGACCGCCAGCAGGCGCTCAAGAACCCCCCGGGAGTCCCCAAGAGGCCCCCACAGGGCCAAAAATGAAGTCTTCGGACGCCCCTGACAAGTCCCCAAGAGGCCACATCCCCATGAACCCCCGCGCGGCTCCGAGGGTCCCAAGAGACTTCCGCCAGGCCGCATCCTGGGCCCATGCGTGCAGGCCCCAGAGATCAGCATGGGTGCCGCGATCGTCGCGAGCCGCGAGCCATCTCTTCTGGGGGTCGGCGGACTCGCGAAAGCCTCTTGAACGGCTCGGGTCTCTGGCGGCCGTTCGGGAAGATTGCGGCACCCCTAGAAAGCTCTCAGCAAGGCGCAGCTGCTGGAACGTATCCCGAGGCCAGAGAGACCGACGAAGACTCCCGAACACTCGCCCGATCGAAGAGGACGGCCGGCCGAAACTGATGTCGAGCCAGATCGATCGGACCGAAGCGGGCCCTGCAATCGGGGAGACGTACGACTCGTGTTCGGGGATTCGTGCTGGCCTGATAGGGGCCATCATGACAATGGCGAGACCCCATCTGAAATTTGACGCGACCGCCCGCTGCAGACATGCCACGAAAACTGGACCTTCAAAAAACCCAGGACGCGCTGGTCAACAAGCGTCGGCAGACCCGAGCTGTGGCGCGCTCGAGTCCTGAGGAGGAGGAGGAGGAGGAGGAGCAGGAGGAGGAGGAGGAGGAGGAGGAGGAGGAGGAGGAGGGAGGGAGGGAGGGAGGGAGGGAGGGAGGGAGGGAGGGAAGTGGAGGAGGAGGAGGCGGAGGAGGAGCGCTTCCCCGCTGCCAGGGGCGAGGGCCGGGCAGGCCGTCCTCCGCGGCCTCCGCGCGGGCCTTCTGCAGGGCCGCCTCGCTCTTGGCCCCCTCGGCCCAGGAGCGCAGAGCCGCGGCCTCCTTCTGCGAGGCCTCGCTGCGGAGAGGCGGGCCACGAGCGACGGACGCCTCCGTATCCGCGCCCTCGCAGTCGACACACTCACGCCGCCCTCTCGGCCTCGAGGGAACGTGCGGCTGCCGCTGCCCTTCCCTCGTTGTCCCCCTTGCTGAGCCTCTAGGGAGGCCCTCGCCGCCACGGCTGGATTCGCCTCGGCACTCTGACCAGAACGCACCCCAGGAGAGATCTGGGGAGTAGCGGTGTGCCTGTTGGTTCCCCCACGAGCGACAAGCAGATCCGTATCTGCGCCCTCGCTGTCTGGATTCTGGGACGCGGTTCCGCAGATACGCGGTCGTACGGATACGTTCTGCGAGGGGCATCCGGAAAAAACTCTTGCTCTATCACACCCTGCCCCAACTACGTGTTATCACGTCTCAGCCGGCACAGCGCAAGGACTCGCACTGCCACTGCTAGTTGTTCCCCCCACGTCAGTGTGAAGCAGGCTTGAAGCGCCCTTGCTGACCTCACGAAGCGTGGCGTCGCGATCACGCGAAACAGGAGGGAGTAGCACAGCGGGGGAGGACGCGGGACAGGAAACGAGACCAAGGCGCTGTGGGCAGGAACCCCCTGGCCCTATCGGCCAGTAATCCAAACCACGCAACGGCAGCCTGGAGGGGGAGAATCAGGACGAGAAAAAGAGACAGAGGAGGACAGGAGGCGGGTGGGGGGACTGGCACTTCTGCTGCGTGCGCACTCCCGGGGCATCCGCGCAAAGACGCCCCGTATCCGCGGGGTCGCGGCACAGGGCCCGGCCCGCGAGGCCGCGGATGTATACGGACACGCTGTTCGCCCGCGAGCTGGGGCGGGGGGCCCAGGGCACATGGCCCAGGGGTCGAGCAGCTGCCCAAACATCTCCGGCGATCCCAATCTCGCCTCCTCCTCCTCCTCCTCCTCCTCCTCCTCCTCCTCCTCCTCCTCCTCCTCCTCCTCCTCCTCCTCCTCCTCCTCCTCCTCCTCCAGCCAGCGATGTTCCTCGATCTCGGCCCCGGGGGGCCGTTTTATCCTCGGGCCCCGGGACCATCAAGTATGACTCCGGGGCGAAAGATGACCCCCGGGGGAAGCGGTCGGGACCCCTGGGGCCGCGGATGGAAGCGAACACGGAGAGCCAGAGGTCTGGGCGCACAGATCCGCCTCCTCCCTCGCCCCGTGCTCCGCCTCCCTGTCGGCCCAGGGGGGCACCCGGGAGGGCCCAGGAGACCCTGCCTCGGAGGGGGATGGGGCCCCAGGCCTTGGGGCGAGGAGTCCGCAGTCGCGCCTCCGCTGCCTAGGCAGGGCCCATCTCCTCTGATTGTGCTCCCCCTTCACTGGCGAGGGGGGCTCAACTGTGCTACAAAAAAACTCCAGTGTGACAACAACTCGAGCCTATCATCACGCTTGGGCAGAAGGCACCGTTGCCACTGCAGCTGGTGATTGTACGTGTTTGTATCGCCGTTTTTGCTATCGCAGCGGGGCCCTATGGACGCGCGAGTGAGCAACAACCTGCAATCCCAGACCCCCGACGTAATGAATTTTTCATTACGTCGACCCCAGAGTTCTCGACCCCTTCCCCAGGACCGGCTTTCCATCCTGAGTCGTTTTCTGACGCTCCCGAGGCCCGGTGAGGGCCCCCAGAGGCCGAAAACTAGGAAAAACCTCCCGTCATGATTTTTTCATTGCTCGAGGGGGTCCGGGATGAGGGAGCTAACTGCCAGCCGCGCCCCCCCGGGGCAGGTGAGGTCCGCGGCGGGCTCTCCCAGAAAGAGGTGCCCCCGAGGAGGCGGCGGCGCGGGCCGTCCTCCTCCGAGGGCCGGGGGCGAGGACGGGAGGGAGGGCACGGGCACGGGCGGGGGCGAGGGCGCGGGCGCGGGCAGGAGGGCAGGAGCCGCGGGAGGGGCGGGGCGGGTCGGCCACGCGCAGGAGGAGAGAGGAGGAGGAGGAGGAGGAGGAGGAGGAGGAGGAGGAGGGGGAGGAGGAGGGGGAGGAGGAGGAGGAGGGGAGGAGGAGGAGGAGGAGGAGGAGGAGGAGGAGGAGGAGGAGGAGGAGGAGGAGGGGAGGAGGAGGAGGAGGAGGAGGAGGAGGAGGAGGAGGAGGAGGAGGAGGAGGAGGAGAGGAACCGCCTCTGCGCTCCCAGCATCGCGAGCCGTCCCTGTCGTTGGGCCAGGGCGCAGAGGGGGGGTACGGGGGAGAGAGGAAGGCTTCTCGGAAGGAGGCTGCTTCTTTAGAGGGCGCCGGCCTCACGGCTGCAGACAAGGCCCGCGCCCTCTAAGGAGCAGGGGTGCTCCTGAGAAGCCTTCCCCCCTCCCCCAGACCCCCCTCTGCGCGCCGCCAAGCGGGGCAGGAGGGAGGAGAGCGGGGAGCGACAAGCGAGGAGCGCTCGCGCCACACCTGACGACCTTTCATTCCCTCCCACCCCTTCCCATGACGCTGGTGTGCTTTCCCTTATCCGCGGGCGAGTGCATCGTAGCCGACCAGGAACTCCAAGAGAAAGACCCAATG